AAAGCTTACCTCACAGATTTGGATTGCGAAAGCGATTTTTTTTTTCTACTTCAATTAGAAGAGCTCCTCCCTCGTCGATTTGATTTGAAGAACAGAGAGTTCAATTTAATTCAGCTATTAAGGGGCATAATAGTCATTTCATTCAGTTTATGGCGAAAAAATGGAGAAAAAGCCGCACCACACGCGCGTGAGATGCACATCCGTCAAGTTAGACGGTTTAGGGGATAACGCGCAAGCAGAAGTATAATAGAAGGGGGTATGGCGCAATTTTTAAAATACAGGGGGGTAACGCGCATATTTCGTATAATACAGGGGGGTTTGGCGCAATTTACCCCTAATTCATTTATACTACTAGTTCTTCAAAAGCTTCTCATTACATATATTATAAATATTCTCTTTTTCAATATTATTTTTTTTTACATATTATAATTTCTTCTCCAATTTTTATTATAAATTATTTTTGATACCAACAACATCTGTAAATTGCACAAAGAAAAATGCGAAGGATATACCCAACATAGACAACAAAAGAAAATTGGCAGTCAGTGTATCTGATATTACCAAATAAAACTAGAAAAAAGAAATGTGGTGCGCACTCAATAAAATTATGGGATCGTCTAGGGTGAGGTACCCCTTGTACCTATTTAACATCAGGTATCACCTATTTCACCATTAGATTAACTAAAAAATGGAAATCAATGGTGGATTCAAGGATACAAGGTAAAAAAGAATTTTGGTAGCCTTGTACTTTGTCTAGTACCCTTCGTACTTGTTAAAAACCTATTATACCCTTACTTCATTAAAAAATTAAATTTTAAATTAATAACTTATAACATGATACTTGTATTTATTTTCAAAACTATACATTTATATTATTTGCTTAACAATCCTTTAAGAACATATTATCAACGACATGATGTATCATTTATTTTTCGAATTAAATTGTTCTTTGATTTCTTTCATCTGGAGAGTTCTTCTTCTCTCATCGAAGAGTTCTTCTTCTTTCATCGGAAAGTTACTTCATATTAATGTTATATACTGAAAGCTTGGATTTAGATGATATTACACTTTTACCCTTTATGAGTGAAAAACATGTTAGATTAAACAAGTTCTACATTCTGTTGTTTTGCATTAGATATTGTGGGTCGTCATCAGGCGAACCGAAGATCATGCTATTAGTTACTCGCGAAACAAGAATAATTGGTTCACAACCCAGATGGACATGAACACCCCATCGTGAACGGTTGTAGTGTCAACCATACAGTTTGTCTTGATTGATTAGTTGCACTAGTACATTTATGTATTGAACAATATCCCAGAGAGGAGCAGTTCATTATATACCGATCGTCGTAAACGAACCAGGCCTCGGTTAATTACTTCGTACTCTTAACCCGTTAGATACTAAACAAGCATATATTGTAGTACCTATTACATTGATTCACATGGGTGAGGCTTAGTGAATTGTGTCAATAGACTCGCTGTCTTGGGTAATATTGCTGCGTGTATGATGTACTGTTAGGATATTTACAGTCACCATGTGCGTTAGTTTGATGATGTCCCCGGAGTGAGTTCATGAAGGATAATTATGCTAAACCCTGCAGGTGGATTAAATTCCAGCATAGTAATAATGTGATGAACGAGCGCTAGCTTCGGTGAAATAAAAATAAATTAATTTATTCTTGATTGTCAGTAATCGAATTAATTAATGGACATTATATCTTAAATATGGGGAGATAAATCGAGTAATTATTATTTGAGCCTCAATTGTGAATTGGGCTAGGAAAAGGGAGTGCAATAATATTATGTTGGTGGCCCATTTAATATTATTTAATTAAGTAAAATAACTGGCTTGGTCCACAAGTATTTTAATTAATTAAGGATCCCTTCTCCTAATCTCCTAAGGGTCCCTACTGTAGCTTTGTATATACATCATTAAGCTCATGGAGAATTCCTAATTACATTGTAATTCGGCCGCTCCCCATATTCTCTCTCTCAGTTCCCATTCGAGCTTTATCATCTTCTTGCTGTTCCACCGGTACAAGATTAAGAGGTGTTTGAGATATACAGTAGAAGATCTGTAGGTAAACCGAGACGAAATATATTTTGTCATACATAACTAACCGGAGGTCCGATCAAGACGTGCAGTATACCCAGACGACCGTCTCGATAATAGCTTTCCAATGCCGCCGATATCACAAACATCTGACTTCTCACGTGCCCGCAAGCGCCGCCGTAAGGTCCCAGGCTGCAAGTTTTGTCTTCATCCGTTTGCACCCGTTTGATCTAGTTTTTGATCTGATCTTGCTCGTGCAACCCTAGGACGCGATTTGCAGTCTTGTTTTCACTGGTGTGCTGTGTACGGCCATACAGAAGATCAGCCAGATCGCCATAAATTTTAATTTGTAAGTTCTCTACGCAAACCTTTAGATTCGTTGTGCATAGGTTTACGTTTGCTATTGAATTCGTGATTTGTGCAATACGAGATCCTCATAGATCCCAACAAGTGGTATCAGAGCACTTGGTTTAACTCGTTGTGTACAAGTTCGAATTTTTACGGCTTTATTTGTCAAGATGTGTTCAACCGCAGCCATATATTGGATTATATTCGCATAACTTGGTTTTGCAGGAATTAGTTTAATCCACTATTATGGCCGACTATGTGTTTGATGAATGTTGATGAATGTGATGTATGGTTTTAAATTTGTTTTTAAAGCCTCAGACATGTCGATGAATTTGATGGATGAATGTTTGTAATATTTATTCGCCCGGGGATTGACTGGATAGATTTAATTATTTGTTTAGAAAAACATGTACATCCATTTGTTGGATCTAGAATCGGATTATGTAATTTTGTAAATTCTATTTTTCATGTTGTAATCGTGGATTAATTGTCGGGAGATTACAAGAGATCAACGAGCCTCAAAAAATCATCCGGATTGGAGCCCGGAGACCGCGCGAACTCGCGCAGAAGAGAAAAAAAATTTGCGCCGGCGGTTTTTCACCGGCGATGGCGGCGGCTAGGCGCCGGTGTTTTTGCTTGGTGGCCAAGCAGTATGATATCAACCAGGATTCTACTGCAGTGAGAGTTCCAGTTGAACACGAAAAGAATATATAAGGTTTCCTTGTTTATGTGAACTCAACATTTAATGGTCATAGTAGTGGATTTATTTATTTAAATTCGTTATGCCATTAATATTTATTTATTTATGCATGTTAATTAATTATTGCATTTACATTTGATTAATTTAGAATTGCATAAATATTTAAATACGTAAAAATCATTATTTAAATTATAAAAGTTTGAGAAGGGATTTTAAATTAAAATTAATTGTAAAATTCCTATGGCCTCCATTTTTAATTTGTCGGTAAATCAATTAATTGTGGTTATGGGCTCCCCCTCGGATGATGTATAATCATATTCGTATGAACTTCGGATCGAGAAATGGGATTCACTTAGAATGCGATTTATTTATAACTCCCCTCGGGGTCCCTGAATTTATTGAATTGCCAAATGGAGACCGACTATTAATTTCGTTCGTCATGAATTTGGTTTTGACTTGTGAAAATTAATGGGCCTTAGAAAGCCCATCTCTTGCGAATGTTGAGTTGTGTAGGGTTGCCCTCGCATCATGCATTAACTCTCGGTGTTTTGAGATGTCGGTGAATTTAAGTTAATATTGTTTTGAGGATATCAATATTAGCAGTTAAATTCAAATGTATTTAATCTGTAAAATTATTTTTGTGTTTTTCTCAGATATACATTATGTCGTTCAATCCGTTATCTGTCATTCTAAAAGAAAATCAACTTATCGATCCTAATTACATTGATTGGAAGAGGAACTTATACATTGTGTTGACTGATGAGGGTTATAAGTTTGCAATTACTGAGGCTTGCCCAGCAGAGCCCGCGGCTGATGTTCCTGAGCAGAAGAAAGGGGAGTATGCCTGGTGGATAAAGGCTTATAAGATGGCGAAGTGTTACATTCTGGCATCTATGTCAAATATTCTTCAACATCACCATCAGTCTATGAACACTGCGGAAGACATACTTCTCAATCTCAGGAATCTGTTCGGACACCAGTCTAAGGCTGCTAGGCAAGAGGCTATAAGTGCTCTGATGA